CACCCCTAATACAAGGGCGCCTTTTGCTTGTCGCGCATACATAAACACGCGCCGCTTTGCTGCATCCCATATTTTAAAAATTAGAATATATAGTTGTAGCTATAAATTTATTTTGGAAACGATATAGTTCTGCAAAATATTAAAACTAATTAAAAAAATGTGGTTAATTTGTGCTCCTTTAATGTTGAATAAAAATATCCAAGATTTCTGTGTTGGCGTCTCAGGAGGTTTCGGGAGGGCGCGTTCAAAATAAGAAAGATTAATCGGAGGCAGCAAGTTGATGTAAAACAAATTGCCGCTGATGTCGGAGCGAAAATATAAAAGTTGTGTTGCCTCTCGCTGCGCCGTGGCCACCGCAGCGTGCGGGCGTGCGAGTGCATTAGGTAGATTTGAAGAGCTGCCGTTGGCTGCTGGAAATGTCATGCGTTATTTTTGGTGGGCGAGAGAGCGGATAAAAAATTGCCCGCTGTGAGTGATGAATGTCATTCCGACGGCAAAAATTGATATCGAACGAGTGCTGCGGTCAAAAGTGTGCTGCTTTTGAAATCAACCTTTCACATGCGACACACAGATTGAAAGTTAATTGCGAGTGGTTTGAATGAAAGTAAAGTGATATCTGTATGGAATAAAATGTGAATATTTTGAAATTTTATGATACATTTTTCTATTATTTATAAAATTTTACAAGTGCTTATTAATTGTTAAATATCAAGTGATAAAAAGAACTTGTTTAAAAATACAATAAAAAACAGCACAGTGACCACATTTTTAAGATTTTGAATTATCATTAATTATTTATTCTTGATAAATAAATTATGAATTTGAAAAGAGAAGAATATTTTGATAAAATTTGCTGATTTTTCGTATTTTTCTTGCTCATAAAATAGGGCCGCAAACCATACCCGAAACTGGGAAATCCATTTATTTTTTAATAAAAACAATTTTGTACAAGGAAAAAGTCGGAGTTCTTCACTTCCACGAAAAAAAAAATCTTCCCCTTCTATACAAAAATAAAAATTATATGAAACTAATACTTGAGTTACCTTTTTTCTTCTTTTTTATAATGTTAACACAAACTTTCTATCCAACTACAAACTATCTATACAATACATACTGAATTTTGCCAGCTTGATCGGGAAGGTTCTTTGTTTGATAAAATTTGTATCAATTTTAATAAGGTTAATTTTGAGAAAGATGTTTTTTATAGAAAATTCCTTATGTAAAAAAAAGTGTCAAAAACTAATTTTTTTCCAATAAAAATTGATTTTTCTTATGATGCCTCCTTGAAATTGACATGTAAAAACCAAGGCGAATGTGGAAAAAAATTATTAACAAAACTTACCTTTTTTAGCAGAAAAAAAAATACTTCCAGGTTGTTAGTAGCATTTTGAAAATCGTATTGCATTTTATGGAAGGGGAAATATCTAGATTTACGATGCCAGCTGTAAAAATTTGTAATTCAAAATTTACACAGGTGCTCTCAGAAATTTATTGCACGTTATGTAAAAACCGCAAAAGTGCAATATCCAGCGACAGATCGGCTGGCGGTGCCACATTCGTTTTATTTGAAGGCCGGGGCACAATAAAAGTATAGTCGAGGAGGGTAGGCAACCTGCACATCCCTGGGCGCATCCTTTGCCTGCTTCCACGTGCATACTCCGTTTTCGCTCTGCTCACACTCGCGCATCGGCATTATTTATGGCGGCGAATTTAACACCATAGCGGGAAATAAATTGTCCACGGGTGAAATACGACAAAAAGAATGTTTTTCCTCGCCGAAATCCTCACCCCAGAGCGCGGCAGTGCGATTTGGGGTGAGTCATGAGATAAAGAAAAAGTCGCGAATCCATTCTTCTCGTCTCGTTTCGATTTTCCTCTAAATAAAGCAGTAAACAAATTAACTTGTCTGCCAAAAAGACAATTTCGATACTTGATGACGCGTGAATGTTGATTAGTTCTACCCTGATTACCGCGCGTTTACCCATTAAATTCTCTCTTGCGCATTATTTACCCCAGCGACGGCTGCTTGCTTTTCGAATAAATTTGCTGGGAATAAAAATATCGATTTCTGCCCTGTTCGTTCCTCTCTCATCCCCAAGAGTGGACGACGTTCTCGCTCTCCCTCGGCAGCTTTCTGCCTGCTGGCTGGATTTAGATGATGCAACCGGAAAATAGGCATGAAATTAACAATTTATCACGGCAGGCGCTGCAGATAAGCGGCCCCATCACTCCGTCAACGCTGCGAAACTTTGCTGCCGCATTTTGCAATCACATTTAGCGAGTTAAGTTTGCTAAAACTGCTGATTTTTTTAATTATTCTTAGATTGCTTCGATTTAATCGTCTTGCAAAGTGTCTAAAAATCAAAATAATGAAACTAAAAGCATTTGGGTGAAAGAACATTGCTAGCAGTTCATCATCACAAGCAAAATTTGAAGTTATATTTTTATAAGTACCTTTAAATTTGATTTGAAGCGGAAAATAGGCTTTTCATTTAATTCACATTTAACCACTTTTCTTGCTGTATTATTTTATAATTCTGACATAAAATAATATTGCAAATTGAATTATATCCTGTAAAAATTATTTATAACTTTTATACATTATTCACAGAGTCACTTAATTGAAGTAATGTGTATTCAAATATGCAGATTTTAATAAAAAATAATATTTAAAATAATATTTATGTGTTCTGGTACTACAATGTTTGAAAAATTTCAAACATTAATTGTTATTGTGAGAAACTTTATTATGTTTTAATTTGTAAACCATTTGATAGTGAAATTCTTTTAGATTCTCTGCGTATTTTAAATTTTCTACTGGTTTGTATTGAAACACGGGATTGCCATGAGACACCAGCCTATTATTATTATTGATATCAGACTATGATCCATCGAAGGGAAAAGTGGAGTTGCGCGCTGACCGATGGCAATATAAATAGAACATCGAAGTGAAGAGAACTGCCACATTTATTTCCCCTCGTCGCGGAGCATAAATATTTTTGATTTGTGTCCAACAAAGCGGCAGCTCCATCAATCACCCCCAGGAAAGGGAAATAAAAGAAAAAGAACCAAACGAAAAAATATATATAAATATACCGAATCATATAATATATTTTTATGTTACAAACACAGGCCAAAAGTGGTGGGTCTTTTCCCAGCAGTGGCCTAGCGAGCTTATTGAATAAAAAATAAATCCGAGCCATCAACTATTGTTATCATCATTCTCGTCTTTTCGGAGTCGCAACTCAACATGGGGAGCTAAAAATTACTCTTGGTATGAAGCGCGCGGCAGGGGCGGAGTTATGCAACCGGCAGGCCACGCCTCGCGAGACCACGGCGCAAGTATGTTCGCCAAGACGAGGGAAGGGGACCCGCGAGAGATGCGCGATTATGAGATACTTTATATTTCGGCGACAGGCACATCAGCAGACGCTCTCTGCGCTTCCACGCTCCGACGCTGCTGCTGCTCGACCCGCCGCCATATACACTCTTAATTAGCACGCCGGCTTAATTAGTCGCACACATCGCCGAGAACTACCGGCGAATGCACGAAAGTACAAGTAAAGTGGTGCTGGCGAGAATGAGACAAAAAAAATATCATGTAAAATAGATTATTGCCTGGGTGCAAAGTGAACTTTCTTTTAAATTAGTTCTTAAATTTGAACAGCAATAAATAAAACTGGTTTTAAAGTATTTATATTTTCCATTAAAATTGTTTAAAATTTTTATTTTATTATATATTTATTATGTTTTTATTAATTTAATAATATATGTATATCTATTTTCTCTCTCATCAAATACATTGGAAATAACACAACATACTTACTTTAAATAATACATCATTTTTATTATTTATTATTGTTACTGAAAGCACTACTTAAATAATAGTATTTTGATAACATAAATTTTGCAATCATCTTTGTTTTTACTGATATTCAACTAAAATCAATGTTAAAAAATTGTAATACAAATTAAAACAAAGCATGCTATAAATGTACAAAATTCAAAAGGCATTATGGTTAATGAAAAAGTTATAAAAAATATATTCTTTATCGGTAAATTATTGTATGAAACGCCATGATTTCAATTGAGGCATATTTTCTTTAGTTTTTTAATATCAATGAAGGTATCATTAAACCTAACCGCATATTCATAATGATGTTACCCCAGAGATATATTGATTAATATCTGATTAGCATTTAAAAAAATTCTGTAGCATTTTATATAATATATTCCATAAATGTCATTCTGCAAGATAAATTATTTAAATTCTATAATTATGTATTTCGAATACGTTATTATTATTATTTTTTTTTGACACTGCTCAACTCCTTTTGATAAGTTGTGGATGTTTTTCCTGCCACATTTTAGGGGGTAGGCAGTAACGTTAAGCATCTGTGACCAGCGGGTTGCATACTTAAACTTTTTTCTAATTTTCCTGCGAAAACCAAATCAACCGATGCCCCATGTGGCGGATGGATTCTTGCCAGTTGTGGTGCTGTTGTATCCAAAAATTAAATTTCTTTCTATTAAATGGTTTTTTAATTAAATTGTGATTTCATCAAAATGTGGACAAATAAATATAATATTATATTTATGGTCTTAAAAAATATTCTTTTAGGCGGATGAAAAAATTAATTGAAGTGAAGCTGTGTTTTTCACCAAAATAGTTCAGTATGAGTAAAATCGGCGTGTCATGTGGCTGTGGCGGGTCCTTTTTTGTTGTTAGCGCGATAACGATAACAACAGCGTGTTTATGAGCCCCGCCTTCGTGCACTCGCGGCAACGCAAACATTACATTACCGCACGGGAGTGTATCAAAAAGGCCAGCAGCAGCAGCAGCATAAGTAGTGGGGCATTAATAAAGAGCCGCGGAATAAAAAAGGCGGCAGGTGTGTCACTCCGGACCGGGGCTCCTCCTTTCCTTGGCGGCGGAGGACGCGTCAGGCAATGGACCTTCTTACTCTCGGCCGATCGTCGGCGCCGGCATCATCTCTGTGTGCTTCTTTCTCTCCGCTCTTTCTTCTCTCTCTCGCGTGTCAACAACGAGAGACGGGCCCCTCCACCTTCCCCTTCTGATATCAGCTCCCTCCAGATCGGCGCCGCGCGATTTTTCGCCGAATTCGCAGCTTTGCTTAGTGTCCACCCGATCGGCAGACCATTAGGCCGCTCATTAAGCTGTCAGCGTTCGGTGACGTCACACGTGCTCGCCGGCGATTGTCACCTTTGAAAAATGACCCGACGCGTCTTGGCTGCTGAAATGTGATTTTATACCTGCGCTTAATTTTTTTCCCTCTTCAAATTGTCACTCGACGCACGGAGACAGACAGGCAGCGCTCGTTAGTCGTCGTTCAGTGTGTGTGGTCCGGCCCCCGCTGCTGCCGCCCCCGCGCCGCCTCCGGGCCCATGCTACGCCTCACCATGGAGGACGGCTTCTCGGCGGCGTCTCGGCCCGCAGCGTGCTCGGCGGTCGCCGCCACCGACTTCAGCATCGCCGCTATTATGGCGGTGCCCCGCGGTGTGGCACCCCCGTCTGCCAACCCTGCAGCCCCCTCTGGCAATCTCGCGCCGCTCGGTGAGTCAAATTACTTATTCAAGCTGCTCTAATTCCAAGCAATCCAATGTTTCACGACAATTATGTGAAGCTTCCTATTGTAATTTTTTTTTTAAATTCCAACAAAAGCAATCTTTCTACATTAATTAACAGTAAAGAATAAATTTTTTGACTTCAGTTCAAAATAATTGATAAACTTTTTATTATTATTATTGTTGTTTATTCTACTCAAGTCAGTCGGTTTTTCAGATTATTTATTCGATTTATTCAAATTAATTCTAGATAAGTTGTACCGACCTTCAATAAAAAGATTATTTTTTAACACTTATAAATTATATATTATCTTAAATTATTTAATAATGTTAATATTTTTTTTTTATAATACAAAATATTTATGATATTTATTATATTTTCGTATAATTGTCATTTGGAACATGATTGCTATAATTGTATTTTGGTACTTTTTAGTTTGTATGTTGCAATTTAATAATTAAAACGAAGAATTATAAGTAAAACTTTGAAAATGATATTACCCTGGTAAAAATATTTTGTTTTGGAGATTTTGTTGCAAATTTTATATAGTTTAAAGTACTGTAAAATATATTTATGATCAATACTATAAATTTGCTTTTATTGTTTTGAACAAAATAATTATAAAACAAATAATTCAAAAGGCTTGCTCGAGGAATTATTATATTTTTCACCTTGAATGTACGCCAGCTTGTGCCAAATTAATTCGCTTGTTGGCTTTTTGACGATTGTCATCACCTTTCTCATGCGACGACACTTACTTCCGAGCGTTTCTGATTCATGGCAATTGCAGCCGGCAGGACAATTTCGTGCCTAATTTGAACAGAAAAGCGTCCAACAAATGAGGGAGCCAAATTAATATTATTTTCCACGTGTTAACTGCACTAATATGTTTCTTAATAAAAACGTAAATACTGTGTAATTTATATTAAATGCAGTCTTTAAAACTGGAAAAAATCTAGGTTACAATATTTAAATTTGTCCGCTTGTGGCACTGCGGAGAAAGGCAAAAGGTTTTGAAATGATCATATAGCAAATTATCTGCTACTCGATTCCTCATGCAGCAAATTTCTTTTCCTTTCACCTCAAATTATAAGTTGACTTGGAACAACCGACTATTAATTCAAATGCGCTCCCATATAATATCTCAATCCCCTGCAATCACATCCTGAGAGAAACGGGAGCACAAATTTAATGCTTAAACACGAAAATCCGACCGCCCACTTTGTGTACTTTTCTTTACATCAATATGCAATTCTACACCATTAAATTGCTTCCTCTCACTCTCTGACCGCACAAAAGCTGTCGCGCGAGAGAAATAAACACAAAGTCCGATCAAGCCCATTAATTTCGAAAAACAATCAGACGTTGTGTGTTTTTGTAGCAGGAAGTGTAATTTTCCGAGCGCAGAGCGAACGAACAATTGAATTAATCAAAACCGGCTATTAAATATTGCCGGGCGCCGAGAGAGCAACAGGAGTAGCTATTAAATTAGTCTGCACAAACGCAATGTAGCACTTCCGGCGCGCTGCTCTTGCTTGGTCCTCTCAGCTCTGCTGTCGTCGTTTCGCTGGCAGCCGAACGGGCTCCCGATATTAATTATGCGCCGTCGACAAGAAAAATCGTCCGCATTGTCTCCTTGCGAGATCATTAATCAGAAGTAATGATGCCACCCTGCTTGTGCGTGAAATTAGCCTGCAAATTTAGTTCTCTCTTGGCTTTTGAGTTTGAAAAGTGCTTGAAATTTGCTTTATTGAAATAATAATAATATTGAAAATATCAATAATAAAATTACTGAATCGTAAAAATTTAGTCTTCAATGGTTTTGTTTGCCAGAAATTTGTTTAATTTATTTAATACATTATGATTTTGTATATGTTTTCATGCTAAATACTGTATTTCATCTTCTGATTTAAGGCCCATTTGAATAACTTTAATTCTTTACGTGCAGTTTTTTGTTAGGTATAAAAAAAACCGCTGGGATAAATGCTAATGTTAGAGAGAGAGAAAAAAACAAGCCAAAATTAATACGATGTTCCAGGCTGCTTTTCTGAGTCTATATTTTATGTTTTTTTGTTTGTATGCATTTATTTATATATGATCGCGTCGCCTGATGTGTGCGTTCGCGTGTGTGCGAGTTTTCGTTTTATCCCTCTTCTTTTATCGGCGATGCGCGCCGAGCCGCGATGTAAATTACACCGGCCGCAGCACCTTTTAAGGCCTAATACATCCTGCGAGACCTGCTATTTGGCCGGCCAGTGATCGAGAGTGCAAGAAAAACGAATATATATAGCAGGAAGGGTATTCACACCCTGTAATAAAATTATTAAGCCGCGGCAGAGAGAAAATAAAAGGCCGCGATGTAGATAGAGGAAGCGCGCCTCGCGATCAAATCAAATTGGCTCGTGTTTTTTTGTTGATAAAACGTCTTCATAAGACGGCGATAAAAGTCATTAGATTCAGATCGTGTTTGTGTTTCTTTTTTCTTACACGGTTTTATTAAAAATTGAAATTGTAATTAATTTATCAAACAATGCATATTTTTAAAAAAAACCTTTTTTTATTAATTTGTTAACAATGTATTTCATTAAAATATAAAATAAACTATTTCCAATTTTGTATGTTATGAATTAAATATGTTTTAATAATAAATTTTTATAAAACAATTTTTCAAGTAATATATATGTCACATTATTGAGCTATTTTTTTTTTGCTTTTTTATTTTGCATTTTTATTATCAAAAAATATTTATTAATAATATCAGTGATTCATAAAATTTATTGCCCCCATTATTATAATACTTACGTACTTCTGCGATACATTGGACATAGTTTAACATAATTGATTTATAATGAATGAAAGTTTATTAAATTTTTGCCATTAAAAATATTTTTATTTTTGTATAGTACAATTTAGTCTCTTGTCTCTGCTCTTTTAACTCTATAGTGCAGATTTTGTAAATCATAATATAATGTGTATATAAATAATACTTAAGTTCAAGTTCATCCAAATTTTCTACTTATTCTCCATTCATGGCGAACACTGCATTATAAAGAGTGGACTAAAAAGCAGAATCATGCACCATCTTAAAAAAAAGTATAAACACACACTAAAATGCCAGAAAATACAAGAGTCAATGGCGGACTGAAATAAATTAGATATAAATAGAGACAAAAATCCTCTAATTTATTTATTAAGCAAAAACTCGTAAACTCAACGCGCTGACAATGAGATCAAGTAAAAATTTAATCTACTTCAATTGAAATATAATTAAATTTACTCCATCCCCAACATTATTGATTTCCAAATTCCTATATTGAAAGAGTTCCAAATTCTTCTGTAAAGAATTAAATATTTTTACCGTGATGAAAAATTTTAATTTAAAGAACTGTAAGGCTGGTTCCATTATGAATATTTGATTGCAATCATAAAAAATTACTCTCCTCGTACGTACGAAAGAACCTTTTAGTGTTTCATAAACAAAAGATCCTGGCTTGAAATTTTATCGCAGCAAAACCCGCGCATGCATGCGAATTAAATTTTATTTTCGCGCGTAAGTGTAACGCGCGCGCGATAAAAGCAAAACAGCACTGGCCTGCTGGAGATAATTAACACATTAATTACTTCAACGACATTCACATGGTCATTCATCAAGTGCTGCGCGCACATACATTTATTATGTATGTGTTCCTGCGGCAGGACACGACAACAATGCATTTTCGCATTTGGGACCGGTGCACGATAAGATCCACACCGCGCTCGGCAATGACTTTGCACTTCTGTGGCAACAATCGCGGCCCGGTATCTTTCAGCTTTGGAAAATAACAACGAAAGACGTATATAAGGGTACTATAGGCACAAAATTAACTTATGAACTGAAACGTTCTTTGCAGTTAATTTTTATTTTGCGTTTTCGTCGTTTTGGTTTTGGTCATGAATTTCTCTTTTAAAAATAATTATAATATATATTTCATTAATGTGCAATAATCCATATACCCTCCATATACAATATTTTAATATCAATATAATCATGGTTTTTGTAGACCAACAAAATTAATTATATCAAAATGCACGCAAAACGATTGTTGTGATATTACCAAAAGGTCTACATAAATAAGGAAAATAAAAATAAAAGAAATTAACAATGAAAAAAAATTTATAAATAAAAATAAAAAATTAGCTTTTTTTCATTGAAGAAAAAAGTTGTGCTAAATATAAATACCTAGAAATATTTAAAAACTAAAAATAGAACCAATTGACAAAATTGCATTATGAAAGTCACATATTATTGCTTTTTTAACAGGCTTATTTTGTTTTCACTGCATTCAAAATGTTGATCGAGTCCAACTTAGTTTTCGAATCGTCGACAAAATGCCCTATTATTACTATTTTTTTTCCAGATCTTGAGAATTAACCATTGTTACAAAATTCAGGGTTGGTTTCTAAAATTTCACTAAGCTGAGGTACCTCTAAAAAATTTATTGTTTGGGGAAGATGAAATTTATTGATTAAATCGGCTATATCAAAAATTGTATCATAATCTGGATCGATTTGCAACTTGCTGTGCACTTTTTATGAATTAGAGTCTTAGTAAGTTTATTAAATTCATTGAATGTTGTTTTGCTTTTTACTTAATTGCAATTTGGAACAGTCTGTTTATTATTGTTGTTTATTCCTCACAAATCAAGTCAAAATGAAACAAAATTACAAAATGTGAAGAAAAGGCAACACGTCTGGCAACTAAGAGCCGTGGCGAGAGAGGACTTGGGAAATTCAGAAAAGGTGGAGGAAACGCAAATTGCCGCTATGACTCGTTTATTAATTATGCTTGGAAAAATATAGGCCAGACGCTTGAAAATCAACGCCTAATTTAATAAATGTTGTCGTACAAATTCAATTATTTCAAAAGAATTTAAAAAAAATCTCTTCGTTATAAATTAAAAATTTTTAATGTAAACCTTCTGTTCCGGGACCGACCTCCTATTTCCCGT